AAAAGTTTTATAAGTAAAATGGGTATGGAAAGAGCATTCATTTTGCTTCAAATGGAATCTCAGCATGTGAGGGCTCTATGAGCTTACATGAAATACTTTGTTGTTTTGGCACCAATGGTGCATGTGGATGTTCATGAGCATTTGCTAATTACAAGAATATCATTATTTGTCACTTTAAGTTATTTACTAATTACAAGAATGTCATTATTTGTCACATTCAATTTTTTACTAATTACAAGAGTGCCATTGAAAGCAATCATTGGGCCTAGAAGCCCACCTTAGGCCCAAGCTCATCTCAAACCCAAGTCCAAATCTACCTTGGCCATAAAGGCCAAGCAAATGCTAGTCCAAGCCTATTCCATGCACAAGCCTGAATTCAAAACTTGATTTGAATAAGAATAAACAAATTCACATACTTGTCGATACTAACATAATTCATATACTTGGATTCAGGTATATTATTATTGTGGCTAGTAGTCAAGGGAGAAATGGGGGGAGTTCTCAAGCTACGTGGACTCCTGAACTGCATAAAACTTGGGTGGATGTATGCTTGCAACAAGGCATTGCCGACTACCAAACCAATACCACATTGGATAGACAAGGATGGGCAAATGTGATTCAAGATTTCAATAGAATAATGGGGAAAAACTACACCCAGAAACAAATGAAGAACCATTGGGATGCAGTAAATAATGAGTGGAAGATATTCCATAAACCGTCAACTTTTACCGAATCGAGTTGGGATCCAGTGAATGAAACATTCACTGCTGGAGATGACTTTTGGAATGACTATCTAAAGGTATGGTGTAATTTAGCATTTTTAACATAATAAACATGTAGGTTAATCATTTTGTTATGTAGAACCTTACATAGTTTTGTACCTGTGTGATAGACATACCCTTATGCGGCTCAATTTAGATACAAGGGTCTTCCCCGTGCGGCAGATTTGGACATCATATTTGGTGGCACAATTGCCCACGGCTACAATAGTTGGGCACCAAATGAGGGTACACTACCAGAGGTGGTGCCCTTAACCTGACCGACTCTAGATGATGACCAGATGGATGAGGAATTATTACATGAACCAGAGACACCCATGTCTGCATCTGAAACAATGCAGGATGCTAGAAGGATCCCAACAAGCACTCACTCATATAAAGTTGTCAGTGGAGACATAAGGGAGAGTAGCAACTCTACCAGGAAAAAGAAGACATTGGGTGCTATGCAAATTGGCAAGTGTATGGACAGAATTGCATCTGCATTTGAGCTATCAATTACCCATAAAATTGGCCAGGACAAGAGACTAGGTTCTTGGAATGATGCTTTAACCTCCTAAAAGAGATCCCTGAGATTGAGGAGGGGAGTCCTTTATTCATGTTTGCTAGTCTCCAATTCATGAAAGGTGAATTCCGTGACTTGTCTATTGCAATCGGGTCTCCTGCCTTACGACTGAAGATGATTCAAGAGTTGTATGAGCGTCCCAATAGTGTGTGAAACTTGTTTGCATCAATTTGTGTTTAAGTTTATTTTTGTCACATAGACTGGAGAACTTGAGTACTCTTCATTTTGACTAGTATTTCGTAGGATTATTATTGTTGGACTTGATTTATATTTTAATGTTAATTAAATGTGTGTTTTTTATTTTTTTTGCATTTATGTCTTCATTCATTGATTATTAATTTTGTTTGTCTTTACTAAATTGCATGATAGTTTAAGAGATGGCTATTGATAAGGAAATTGAAACGAAGACTGAGGTAGTATCAGATACACAGTCTGATTCCGATAGTAGCTTCTCTTACAATGGGGTGATGGATACTGATGATGAGCATGAGTGCATTGTGAATGTTGTCTCTATGGTGAGTGAGTTTTATTATGATACTTGGGTTCACAAAGAACCCAAACACACCATGGACTATACGGGAGCAGTGTACACAAGGTCTCTCCTTGAAGGGCACGATGACCGATTGTATGAACTTTGTCGTATGGACAAAGATGTATTTATACGACTGTGCAATACTCTGAAAGAACGTGGCATCATTGCAAACAATCGAGATATTTCAATGGAGGAACAACTAGCCATTTTCCTTCATATTGTTGGACATAATGAGAGGAATCGGATGATGCAAGAGCAGTTCCAACATTCCGGCGAGACAATTAGTCACTTTTTCAATGACATGCTGATGGCGATAGTCAAGCTCTCATTGTTAATAATATGCCCTCCCAACTTTGACATTGTCCCTCCACACATCCGCTAGAATCCAAAATACTTGCCATATTTCAAGGTAGCATTCTTATACTATGAGCCCATTTTAAAACTACATCATAAATAACTAATACTGAAAGCTATTGTTTTTTTTTTTTTTTTTGTAGAATTGCATAGGAGCTATTGATGGGACACATATATCAGCATGGGTCCCTACTGATAAGCAAACACTGTACCGGCATAGAAAAGGGCCTTGCACACAAAATGTAATGGTCGCATGTGATTTCAACATGTGGTTTGCATTTGTTCTTGCTGGATGGGAGGGAACCACACATGACTATCACATATTTGCTGAAGCTGTGCATAATCCAAAATATAATTTCCCACATCCACCGTGAGGTATGGTTGCATACATTACAACTTGTTGTGTATTATATGAAGTGTAAAAATATATTCATATTCTCTTTATTATTCTTAGGTAAGTATTATGTTGTTGATTTTGCGTACCCCAACACTGCTGGCTACATGGCATCGTGCCATAATACACGATACCACTTGCTTGGTTTTCAAAGGGGAGGACAACCTACAACAAAGGAAGAGTACTTCAATAATGTCCATGCCTCATTGAGAAGTGTCATTGAGAGAAGTTTCGATGTGTTAAATGCTTGATTCCCTATTCTGAAGTGTATGCCATGTTATCCATTAAAGACACAACAGTTGATAGTTGTGGCTTGCATGGCAATACACAACTTCATCCGGGACAACTAGGACAGAGACACCCTATAGTTGATAGTATATATTCTCTCATTACAGTTCATTAATGGCTGGTAAGAAATACCACATAGTGTTCATTGGTCGTCGCCCAGCTATATACGATACCTGGGCCGAATGCAACTTGCAGGTCCATCGGTACAATGGTGCAGTGTTCTKCTCATATAAAATATACGAAGTAGATTGTCAATTTAGCCATTTTATAACTTTTCATGATTCTTCAACTGCTAGGCCGTCTAGTTGGAATGATGCATCCAAATTAACCTATGTGTATGGGACATCCATGTGTGTTTTACTAGTTGAAGTTATTACATTGGGCATATTGTACATCTCCAAATGATATGCAATTTTACAAATGTTCGCACTTTTATGTTACTTTAGGGCACATTAAACAAATATGGACAGGGAATTTGTTTGTGAAAACTGATCTTTAATTACATCTTCTATAAGTATTTTGTGAAAACTATGCCTCGAAAGCACTTTTTGGAAGTATTATGTGAAAATTGTCTTGAAAGTGCTTTCTAGAAGTATTTTGTGAAAATTGCACCTTAAAAGTACTTTCTAGAAGTATTTTGTGAAAATTATGCCTTAAAAATACTTTTTGAAAGTATTTTGTGAAAACTGCACCTTAAAAGTACTTTCTAGAAGTATTTTATGAAAATTGCACCTTAAAAGTACTTTTTGGAAGTATTTTGTGTAAATTGCACCTTAAAAGCACTTCCTAGAAGTATTTTGTGTAAATCATGCCTTAAAAATGCTTTCTAGAAGTATTTTGTGAAAAGTACGCCTTAAAAGTACTTTCTAAAAGTATTTTGTGAAAATTGCGCCTTAAAAGTATTTTCTGGAAGTATTTTATGTAAACTGCGCCTTAAAAGTATTTCCTATAAGTATTTTGTGTAAACTGCGCCTTAAAAGTACTTTTTGGAAGTATTGTGTGTCGCCTTAAAAACACTTTCTAGAAGTATTTTGTGAAAATTGCACTTTAAAAGCACTTTTTGAAAGTATTTTGTGTAAATTGCACCTTGAAGATACTTTCTGGAAGTATTTTGTGTGAACTACACCTTAAAAGTGCTTTGTGGAAGTAATTTGTGAAATATGTGTAGTAAAAGCACTTTCTAGTAGTATTTTGTTATTATCAATATTATTCGTTATTTGTTAATATTAGTTATTATTATTATTTATAATTATTATTATTATTATTATTATTTAGATCAACATGGCAGCCTACGTGGAGGTCCATGTGGGCTCTTAGTTGAAATGTATAATATAACAGGTGAAAAGCATTGTATATATGTATGAGTGAAGTGAGGGTTAAAATTGTCGTTTGTGTAAATATAAGCACTAATGGGGAAAGTAGCTTACCAAACATTCCCACCCCAATAAGTGCTTAAAAACATAATAAGTGATTTGAAAAGTGAGTTACCAAATAGCCTTAAGGGTTGTTAACTAAGAAATACTTACGAAACAAGTACTTCTTTTAACAAGTACTTATTCATCAAACAAGGCCTAAAACTGCCTATTTAATGCGTTCTTGTATTCTTATCAGCCCCTGAAATGCAACGCGGGGGTACCCTGCTTCAAAGCCTAAGTTCTTGTTTGGGAGCGCTTTTATATAGCCGCTTTTAGTGTTGTAGGATAGACTCCACATGGAAAGTAATGAAGAAGCTATATTCGTTGAAAAACCCAAAAAGCTCAAAATTTCTTATATTTAGCTGAGAATTCAACTTTCCAAGCAGTTCAATCAACGGTAAAGCACTAAAGCCCCCTCCAAAATGGGAGTCTAGATTTCTAACAAATTCATATGGAGATGTTCCCAATGTGCAGCTGGATCCCATGTCTCTTCAGAATGCATGATGAGTTTTTGCTTGCAGGAATCTCAAACAGACCCTAAAAATGGAGCTGTGTTTTTGTGCTTTAAAAAGCACATGCCCTGAAACTTATCCAAACGCAACCTTAACACCAACAATCTTATCATATATTTCTCATTTCATTTTCATTTTTACAAACTATTTATATTTACATTAGGTGTGCGCCTCACTGAACTTGAGGCTTAAGCCTCAGGATTCTTATACAAAGGCGACACTGGCAGCACTCTCCACCAAACAAACTGAGAAGAAATTCCTTTAGCCATCTGAACTACTCGCTGCTCCATTACATCTCCTGTTTATATAAGAATACTTTAACAAAAAGAGAAGAGATCAGCTTAATTCTATCCAAGACATCCCAATAGATCCACGGTATGGCAGAATCTGATCCGTGGTTCGATGTAGTTGTGTTCTCTGATTCTGTTTGTAATTGTTGAGTATGAAGCGGTTGTCTGCGATCTGAGAACCAGAGGAATGCTGGGCGCCCTCCAATTCGGCGTCTTGGCGGCGTCTATCGTCCTCTTTGTTCCAATGGGAATGGCGGGGTGGCATCTCAGTCGCAACAAGATGCTCTTCTTCAGTGGAGCTCTCTTCATCACCCTTGCGGTAGGTGTTCATCTCACACCTTACTTCCCTTCGATTTCCGATCTGGTTTCTTCTTTGTCAGCTTCTGTTGTGCTAGAGAATCGAGATTCCTGTGTTTCTTTTCTTCATGAGATTGTTTGGGATGTACAACCGGTTAGGGTTAGTGAATTCTCTTCAAACTCTTCGAATTATGAAGAATCATGGAGTTGGGCCCAGTCTACGCCTGTAACTGCTTGTGGGTTTCAAAAATTGGGTCGTTCTGATGCCTCGGATCTGCTTAATGGGTCCTGGATTGTTGTAGCTGGGGACTCACAAGCACGACTGGTTGTTCTGTCGTTGCTGAATTTAGTTTTGGATCCGGAGGAGATGGAATCTATCAGAGGTGACCTGTTTAAACGACACAGTGACTATAAAGCCTTGATTAAAGGAATTGGAGTGAGATTGGATTTTATTTGGGCACCTTACACTAGGAATCTGACTGAATTGCTTATGGAATTTAAGCATAATCGGCAGTATCCTGATGTATTGGTAATGGGGTCTGGTCTGTGGCATATGTTACACATCACGGATGCAATGGATTATGGTGTTTCTCTAAGATTGATGAGGAGATCGTTGGTCTCGCTTTTGCCTATTTCTCCAGATTTTGGAATGGATGGGCCTGTTACAGGTTCTATTTCCATCCGATCACCCCATATGTTTTGGCTTGGAATGCCAACTCTGGTAAGCTCAATGTTAAATACAGAGGAGAAGAGGGAGAAGATGAGCAGTGTGATGTATGATGCTTATAATAGTGAACTCTATGAAAGTAAACTTTTGCGGCAGTCTGGCGGTCCACTCCTGCTTCTGGATATCCAGTCTTTGAGCAGGAACTGTGGGGCTCTGTGTACTGTTGATGGAATGCATTATGATGGAGTTGTTTATGAAGCTGCAATTCACATCATGCTCAATGCATTGCTTATTGAATCTCAGCAACAGCTTTGAAAGGGATATGGGTATTTTTGGTTTCTTCAATTTTTAAACCCTTTATTGAAAAATACAAGCAACTATATTTGAAGTACACATGTGGCAAACAAAGAAATTCAAAATATTTTATCTGCATGATCCTTACAAGAGGTCAGAGTTTCCCATCTAATCTTGTACTTTTTCTTTTACCCATCTTTTCCCCACATTCAGATTAAGTTGGTATTGACTTTGTTTCTTTTTTCATAATAGCCTTTTTATGGGGTGAGGGGAGGTTCCTTTCCTTTTTTTTTCTAATTTCCCCTCTGTTAATATGTACGAATATCTACTCATACCTTATCATCTGTATTTTGGAGAAGAGTTTGGATGTTAAAAAATTAATTTTTGAGTTGAACAGTTTAAGAAGTTCAATTTGTGCAGCATAGCATATATTTTCTGCAATTTTAATGTAACTATTGTGATCTTGTCAGCTAGAGGCACCTTAATAGCAAGGTGCTCTTCTGCAGTATGAATTCATGATTACAAATGCATTTAGCCCACTTAGGGTTTTTTTTATCCTCAAAATTCAACTGATCAGGAAACCTTAGTAGGTATCCATTTGTGTATGAGTACAACTATGCCCATGTGTCATTTAATTGGAGTAGGCTCTTGTATATGACTAAACTAGAGCTGCTTCTTGGGAATCTTCCATGTAAGCAACAGATGCCATCTTAGCCTTTTCAGGTGTCCTGTGCCTGATGAAAAGTTCTCTGTCAGGGATTTCCATAGCAGTGCTTTCAATGCCTAGATGCTTCACTAGAGATCAGTAATTTACCTTCCAGGAAATCTTACAAGTAATAGTAATAATTTTATATCAGTATTATCAGAGTGCCAACTCAACCTACTAGTCAATCAAGGGTCATACTGACCACTTCACTAACTAGTTGATATTCATGGTGCAGTATTTTATTTGTTTATATTTGTATATAATTATTTAAAATAGTATTAATATGTTTTTATTTGGATACATTGGTGCTAATTGCTTTAAGCATTTTTTGTACTACATTGTTGGTTGATATATAAAGAGAAATAATGCATATAATAAAAGAAGGGTGTAGGTGTTCTCTTAAGTTTTCCTCCGATCAGTGGTGTGCTGGTATGGAGTTGTTACAAACAAGGGACTCACTGAATAGTCAGGGCTGCACTCTTTTGCTGATAAACAAAGGCTTACTCTAAATCCTAGCCTATCCAGCCTTCCTTTCCTATATTTTCTAAACAAAGATTGTAAACTAAATGTTTTGTATCATTATTTTATTGCATATTTGCAGTCTAAATGGATTTACATATGAGATTGTATCAATACTAATGCTAAAACATTTCCTTTTCGTGAGAGATAATGATGGAAATGTTACAACATTGTTCCCAGGACGGTAGGAGTAGGAGATTCTCTTAGGGCTGAATCGCCCGCTGCCATACAAGGAATCCAAATTGGAAATGAGTTTAGTGTGGAGAATTTAATGATTGAAGGAGATTCTAAGGTGGTAGTGGGGTGGTTGAAAGATCTAGAGTCTATTATATGGTGTTATAAGGGTGGTTGGAGGATAATGGAGATGATACGAGTTGACCTAAGGAGAGTTAGGAGGATGGAGGAAAGGATGATGGTGTTGAGAGCGAGTTTGGTTGGAAGATTCATGGGTTTTGATTTGGAGGTGGATAAGGTTGAAGCTTGGGGAAGCAACAAAGTCATGAGGGTTAGGTAGCTGAATGGAGGTTTATTCCTCTTCATGCTTCATAGCAAAGAATGAGCAGAAAAGGCATTGGAAGCATAATAGAGGATGGAGAGGAAGCTCAACCCCAAACTTGGGTGGTGGTTCCCTGTGGCAGGTGCACCGAGTGAAGTAGGAGGAGAAGGGCAATGTGGATCGCCTTGGTGGGGATCCCAAACTATGTGCTTGGAGCATTAGCATGTTTGAGGAGATAGGGAAGCAATGTGGGAGGTTCTTGAAATTCAATGATAAAATAGAACATGGGATAGATTGGACATGGCCAAACTGTTGGTAGAGATGGGGGATGTTTTAGAGATCTCGAATAGAATGAGATTGCAGTTTGTAGGGGAAAGTTATGAGTTGAGACTCGTGGTAGAAGGGGAAGATAGTACAACACTACAACCCTAAGTTCAATTCAGGAGAATATGTGGAGAGAAGGGGGTGGGGAGAGAGGAAGGAAGAGAGTGAGAGCGGGAACTAGGGCAACAAAGCAGGCGATGGGAAGACAAATAGTCAGTCAAAGGAAGAAGGAGATGAGATGGGGAGTGAGAAGGACAAAAATGGAATTTTTGATGTCTTGGAGGATGTGGGAATTAATAGGGGTGGACATGTGGAGGTGAAGGAGAAGGGGAGTAAGGAATATCAAGAAACGTGTATGGGAATAAGGGGAGGTGAACAATAAATGGTGGGGGAGATAGTGGAGAATCGAATTCATGTGTGGGTCCCACAAAGGCACAAAAATAATGGAGGGATAGACAATATCAGTTTTGGCCTTTGGTCGAATGGGATGAGGGTTATGAGAGGTAAGGGTACAATTAGTAAAAAGCCAATTAGGAGGGGTCTTTCAAAAAATTTGAAGGAAGGAATTTCAAGAACTCAAGAGGATTCGGTCTAGGTGATTGCTAGGTTCGAGGGAGGTAAGAAGACATTAGAAGTTCAGCAGAGCAGAGGAATTAGAGAAGTGACCAGCAGAGCGTGGAATTGACAAGAAGGTGGAGTTCAAGGAAGAGAAAGGGAGGTGTAGGAAACAAAGCTTCAGACGTAGGACGATATTGCAGAGGAGTGGTTAGGGGTGGTGGGCTTGAAGATGAGGTAAGAACCCATATTGAGTTGACTCTAGAGGAGGTGTATGAGGCTCAATCGAAGGTGGATCAAAGGGTTGGGAAGAAGAGTGGATGACTGGTGAGAGGAAGAGAAGTCATTCTACTAATAGTGAAGGGGGTGATAAGTAGGAGAGAGTTTATAATAGGAAGAGAAGACTAGTGGGAATTGATACAGTTGCTGAAGAGGGGAAAGGGGTTGACGTAAGAGATTGGGAGAAGTATCTATATGAAAAGAGAAGGGACATGGAGTAGGCCTATAAATGGAGCAAATTCAAATCAAATCAGTCTATTCAAATTTGAATTCAAATTCAATTACAAAGCAGATGATTCGAATTCAATTAAATATCCCTCGGATATTCAAAACTACCAACCAAATTCAAAATCGATCAAAACATCAAATATTCTATTCAAATGCGACCAGTTACTTTCCTCCAAAACCCTAACATAGCTAGATGCATTGAGAGAAGAGGAAGAAGCACTCTACGGTGTTGATATTGTTCACGGCTTCATGCCCTACCTCCTCTACAAATAAAACTAACAAGAAACATCCAACAACTGCAACAAGACATTGAACAAGAGAAAAAATAAAAAACTGAATAAACTAAAAAACCTAAAAAATAATGTGATATATGATTAGGGTTAGGTGGAGAATTATGAGAAGATAAAGAGAGAAAAATAATTGAGAGTTATTGTTCTGGTGATGTTGGAGACACTAGGATGGATCACCTGTTGTTTTCAAAGTATGGACGTATCACTATTGTTATTTGGTTATGGATGCATCACCTGTTGTTGTTCTTGAAAAACTTCAGAAAATATTGGACATGGATGGCAGCTCCAGTGGATGGTAGGAGCTATCTGTAAACTTGCAAAAGTTGTAGAGAATAGGAAAGGCTCAGGGGGGGGGGGAAGAGAGAGAGGTGAGGGAAAAGTGGAAGGAAAGAAAAAGAAAGCGAGGGGTCATCGAGTATTGATGGAAAGGATAGGAGGGAGAGAGAGAGAGAGAGTTATCAAGCATTAATGGTACTCAATAGTAACATCATTGCAGCCTTTTTGCAAACATGTCACTTTTTTTTTCTGATGGGCATTTGACAATTGTAAGTGTTAAAAATCAGTATTTGTTTTAGGGTTATTTTGGTCTTTTTCTCTATTTTTTGCCTCTGTTCTTGAAGTATAGTATCAGGGCTAATATTGTAATTTTCTTTTCCATTATGAATGAAACATATAGACGGCAGCAGTTTAGTCTCTCTCGATGGAGACTATTCAGCCTATTTTCTTCATATTCCCTTTCTCTTCTTTCTTCTCTCTCTCTTTTTTCTCTTCCAGGAACTAGTGCAGGTATTTTTCTGTGTTTATTAGATTTAATACAGGTCTGATAACATGGTGTCAGACTTGGTTGATTGTCCAACTCACCTGCATCAGTGAAGGACGCCCTAGACTACATCAGTTGAAATTTTTTTGCTCATAAAAGTTGAAAGGAAGGGGAAAGACTAAAAAGGACTGATCGCACAAAAGTTTAGGAGGCTTCCATGCCTCAGGTTGCATCATTGGGTGGTTGGCTGATGGTGTATTAACTCCCTTTGTTTGGCAGTTCGAAGAGGGACTATGAATGTGCAGGTTGGATGTTTGTTGTTTATGTGTGGTAGGTTGGTCTTTGTGAAAGGCAAGGTCGGTTAGCTCGTAGAAGGGTTTCTTGGGGTTCTTATGTTCTAGTTTAAGGGGTTGTGGCTAGACTGTTGTTGTTTCCAGGCCAGTAGAGAAGTCGGTTGGGTATTTTATTGTCTCAAGGTGTTCGGCTTGAGTGAGTGTTGCAGAAATCCTGTTGTGATTGATGGCAGCTTCTAGTAGTGAGAACAAAACAAGTGTGACGGTGCAACCGGATTTCATGGCTGTACAAATGACATCAGTCAAACTTAATGGTACAAATTATGTACCATGGGCAAAATCTGTTGAGGTGAATCTGACAGCCAAAGGGAAATTAAAGTATATTAAAGAAAATAAACCAGACCCAGGGGCTGCAGTGTATAATGACTGGATTCAAGAAAATGTGCAGATCATGATATGCCTTTGGAACAGTATGGAACCTCATATTAGTGTGAACTTGATGTTCTTTGATACTGCAAAAGAAATTTGGGAACATGCCAAGCAGTTGTATTCTGGACAAGATAATGTAGCCAAAATATATCAATTATACTTGGAATATTTTCAGCTGCAACAAGGTGATAAGAGTGTGGAGGAGTACCATGCTAGTTTAAAAAGTTTGCGCAATGAGTTGGATTCGTATCATTCCCTTTCAATTGATCTCAAGGTAATAACAACAACAGAGAGATTAGTTGGATATGGCGAGATTTCTTTCTAGATTAAGGACTGAATTTGAACCAGTGCATGCTCAGATTTTAGGTAGTGGTGATATACCCACACTATCAGAAGTCTTTTCTAGAGTCAAAAGGGTTATGAGCCCATATACAGACAGAAAATACTCCAGTATTAGAGAGGTCGGCTTTAGCCGCAACCAAAGGTGATAGAGGTAGCTCACATGGTAGGAGCAGCTATCCCAGAGGGGGTAACCGTGGCAGAAGAGGAG